GGTGAGGGGCTTGGGAACGCTTCCAGGTCGAGGTGGGAAGGGTTGAATTTTTATTATTTTTTTTTTATAATATTTAATGCAGCTGTCGTTTGGTTTTGCCTCATGAACGAAACGCTGGTAGGCCTCGGAGGCTCGCTGGTGTGTGTTGCAGGCGCCTCTGACTGCGAAGGTGATTCCTGGGCACAAGACAAGAGAAAACAGAAAGCAAATTAAAAGTCTTATCTTCTTATTTTGAGGGGAGGTGTTCTCGGTTTGTTTTTTGGGCCTCGCTTATGGATTCACGTCATAACGTAGGCTTTAAAAATACTACTACAATCAACCCTATTCTGTTTTTTGCCCCCAGCTTGCTTCAACCTGATTTCCAGTTAAAATGCAAAAAGGAAGCTATCAGTGTGGCATAAGAAGAACAGAGATGGGTGCTGGTCCACATTTATAGATACTGGAAAAAAACGGGTGTAAGTTCTTCTCCTCACCTTTGCCTATTGTGCTTAGGAAGGCAGCCTTTCTCCCTCAGGTTGCCTAGTTTGCTGAGGTTATTTTTGTCCTGCTCAACAAGGTTCCTGTAGGTCAAAATAATAAGGGATATGAATCAGATCAGGAGCATAGCCAGGACCCTGAGTTTTAGGAAAGCAAACTTCCAGCTCTTCAAGGAGTTATTCAGTAGGATCCCTTGAGAAACAGTCCTCAGGGACAAGGGAGCAGAACAGAGCTGGCAGATCTTGAAGGAGGCTTTCCACAGAGTACAAGAGCTCTCGATCTCCAGGTATAAGAAGGCGAGCAAGGAAGGGAAGAGACCAGCATGGCTGAGTTGAGTCCTGCTGGCCAAACTAAAAGGAAAGAAGGAACTGCACAGACAGTTCAAGCAGGGACAGGTATCTTGGGAAGAGTACAGGGACACTGTCTGGCTGTGTAGGGGTGAGGTCAGGAAGGCCAAGGCATGGCTGGAGCTTAACTTGGCAAGGGATGGAAAGAATGACAAGAAGGGCTTCTACAGGTCTGTCAATCAGAAAAGGAAGGTTAAAGAAAGCATATCATTCCCCCTGCTCCCTGCCCCATGAGCAACAGTGGCAAGCTGAGATGAGAAGATGAGAAGAAGGCGTGTGTTCTCAACAACATTTTTGCTTCAGTCTTCACTGGCAACATCTCTCCTTACACCTCCTGAGTTGAAGGACCACAAGATGGAGACCAGGCAGAAAAAGTCCTGCCCACTATATGTGAAGACAAAGCTCATGATCACCTGAGGAACCTGAACAGCAAGGCCAAGTGCAAAGTCCTGCACCTGGGTAGGGGCAATCCTTGTTACCAATACCGGCTGGGGGATGACGTGATAGAGAGCAGCCCTGAGGAAAAGGACCTGGGGGTACTGGTGGGGGAAAAGCTGGACATGAGCCACCAATGCACACTCGTAGCCCAGAAGGCCAACCACATCCTGGGCTGCATCAAAAGAAGCATGGCCAGCAGAACAAGAGAGGTGATTCTGCCCCTCTGCTCTGCTCTGGTGAGACCTCACCTGGACTACTGCACCCAGCTTTGGAGTCCCCAACACAATAAGGACATGGACCTGTTGGAGCAGGTCCAGAGGAGGGCCACAGAAATGATCAGAGGGCTGGAGCATCACTCCTGTGAGGACAGGCTGACAGAGTTGGGGCTGTTCAGCCTGGAGAAGAGAAAGCTCCAGGGTGACCTTGTAGCGACCTTCCAGTACCTGAAGGGGGCCTACAAGAAAGCTGGGGAGGGACTTTCTACAAGGATGTGTAGCAATAGGACAAGGGGGAATGGTTTTGAATTAGAGCGGGGTAAATATAGATTAGACGTTAGGAAGAAGTTCTTCACTATAAGGGTGGTAGATCACTGGAACAGGTTGCCCATGGAGGTGATGGAGGCCGCATCCTTGGAGATATTCAAGGCCAGGACTGATGGGGCTCTGAGCAACCTGATCTGACTAAAGATGTCCCTGCTCACTGCAGGGGCATTGGACCTTTAAAGATCCCCTCCAACTCAACACATTCTATGATTCTATGAATACCTGTGAGAGATTAAAATTGTTTAGTGTTTGCCACTGTCATAGCTGACCTCTGAGACCTCAGTCACTCTTTATTCACAGGC